GGCTTAACTAATCCACTCTATTGGAGTCTCATGCTCCTGGAGATTTTGTATATTACTTGGAGAACAAGAGTTGATTACAGTATATTTTTCCATGCCCCCTCACGAATAAGGGCCGTGAAGTGATATTGTTGTTACCATTGAATGGTCCACTACTTTGTTAGGATTTTATTGAGGGAATATTTGAGTCATTTGAGTCTATATTCCCTAGGCCATTAAAGGCTACATTCTCTAAGAGTGATGTGGCCTTCTACAACATGTTATGGTAGCAAGAGGAGGTCATCTTACAATCTGGACAAATGACAATCTCGTACGCCTCTAGCCAAATCTGTCATCTGCTAAGTATGCTTTAGTGTGAGCTCTCCTACTGAGGCTCGCTCATTCATAAGGAGGTCTACTTAGTCAAATGTCCCAATCTCGAGATGTTAATCCTCTCTGGGGTTTCTATAGGGCAACCTACACGGTTCTCCTTGAGGTCGTCCCAGGCCAACCTGAGTTTCTTACCTTGGATAGTCTCTATCTTATGAATTCAAGATAATCTAGTGGTGCCATTTCCTGGTTATCATCAATTGGATCCCAGTCTCGAGCTTGAACTATCTGCTCTAGTCATGGCTTGGGATTGTGCTTTCAGTATGATTGAGGCATTGCCACAATCTAAAAGTAGATATGGATGTTTGAATTCACTGATAGGACGTGATAGGTTAGTTGCATAAGGACTAAGGAGTTGCATAAGGACTAAAGGATTGCACGAGCATGTGGAGCAGGCAACGCCTAGTATTTCGAAACAATCCAATAATATTATGCAACGTCGAGCGGTGTGCAAGCGCATTAAATACGCTCATAGAGAGAAAACTTCCAAAACTTCCTCTATTTAAACTTTCCCCAAATCAAACCTTTCACTTTACCAATTCCTTCATTTCTTCAAGCCTCCTCTCCCTAAATTCCTCCTTTTGAGTTCTTGAATTTGCGTGAGTTCTGAAGTTCTTTGAATATCTCTACAAACTATGGGAAGGATTGAATTGATGGTTCGAGTTGGCCTGGTAGATCCTATTGGTGATTTCCCACCATTCTTGTTTAGATTATTTGTCCTTGCTCAATGTCCATGTAACACCCCAAAACACACCCTGGACGGCATTACATTCTAAAACCATTCATATCATGAGAGCACTAATATAATCCCCAAAGAAAAAAGACTTCATTTGTCATCCACAAATATTTACAACATTATCCAAAAGAATAAGCCCAAGTCATGGCTATTACATCTCAAAATTAATTAAAGAAGCGCAGCGGAATAAACAAAAGAAGCTAGACTACACAATATTCCAAAAGAATGTCCTAGTCTAGTACAAAAGGAAAGGAGGTCGTTCTATGCATCCACCTCGGGATCCACACTCCCGTCCAGTGGAGTCTCCCAAGTAGCAGGCATCTCGACCCTTACGTCCTCCTCTTCAAGCGGGTAATCTGAAAAATGTTAGCGATAGGGGGTGAGCACGAAGCTCTGTAAAAAATTCTCCCAAACCCATACAAGGTTTAGAAAAATATTTAAAATGGTCGGTCTCAATTTTAACATAACATAGATACATAATTTAAAATAAAGTAGTGACATTTAAAAAGGATCTCAAGTTTATTTAAAAATATTACTTAAATGAATAAATGAGCACCACATATAAATAATAACCATTAATTGTCATAACCAATTCTCAACAATTCTTTCAGTAGGTGGCATACTTTGTGGTAACCTCCACTCCCCTTTAGGTCACCTTTGATTCTCAAGCATCCTTACCCGGAACCCTCTTGAGAATGGATGAGCATCCTTACATGGAACCTCTTACCAATCACTACATTGTTTTTCAAGCATCCTTACTGGGAAACTCTTGGAAAAGGGTGAGCATCCTTACAAGGAGCCTCTTACTCATGTGCATCACAAATAACCCAACCAAGCATACATTTTCAACATTTATCTCAATTTACAAGCATCTATCCAAAATCTCCAAAATATATCATGTAACAATTCTACAACCAACTAAGAAATACATGAGATCACAATAACATCATTTTTTTACCCAACACAAAGCACTGAGGTTTCAAAATCCATAATAAAGAAAGCATTTAGGAAGGAAATACATCACTCTCCAAAAATTAGAGTTTTAAAACTAGAAAGGAGATTTCATGGGTATTAAACCCTACTTTGTTCAAAACATGTAATTCTTGCAAAAAGTCTAAGAAGAACATGAGCTTTGATCTTGAATCTACCCTTAATTCTCTTGTTTTTCCCTTCCTTTCTTCCTCTCTAATGCTTTCTAGGGTTCCAAGAGGTGTGGGGTGAGAGTGGAGTGAAAGAAATGAGGAAAATGGGATGAAAATGGGTTTTAAAACACCTCAGCCCCGAAATTCACTGTTCACAGCCTGTTTTGGTTTTCTCCAAAATTACGATTTTACCACTAATAATCTCCAATTTGATCCATATGACTACCCTAAGGTTTTTCGACGTTCTGGATTCATTTTTAATGTTATTTTAACTTAAAAATATTTATTTTTATGATTTATCTCAAAACCAAAGTTAACGTACACCCGAAACACTAAAGTTTCTATTTTATCCATTCGACCTGGCTAGTAATGAAGTTTTGCGTTGTTTGCAAGTAAAATGTGATAAAGGGTGCCTCTTAAAGCCTTTTATACTTATTTGAAGCCTAAATATACTCATTATTCTTATATTTTGATTTAGGACGTAAATGGAGACGTTAAATGCAAAACGAAGCTAATTGGACTGTTTTGACATCGATTCATTATCTGGGCATACCTCTCTCATCCGAGCTCCGATTGAGATGATTCAATATGATATGGAATGATACAAAAGAGATCTAAAACTTTCATGTTTTGATTTTTGAGAGATATTGACTGCATCAAGGTCTAAATCGGGCTTGAAGTTGCAGCCAGTGCACTGTTTAAGCTAATTGGGCTGTTTTGACATCACTTCTTTATCTGGGCATAACTCTCTCATCCGAGCTCCGATTGAGATGATTCAAGATGATATGGAATGCTACAAAATCTCTCTAAAACTTTTATGTTTTGAGTTTTGAGAGATATTGACTTCATCAAGGTCGAAATCGCACTTGAAGTTGCAGGCAGGGCACTGTTCACATCATGTTTCATCCCTTTTCCATTTCTAATCCTTTCCTAAGCCAGCCAAATCCGTCTCAAACCTCTCCAACACATATTTCTACACCAAAACTATTTAATACAAGTTCTAGGACCTAAAATTTCATATTTTCACTTATTAAAACCAAATTTTAACTATTATTTCCACTAACATTTTAAATCTCTACTTTTTCAATCTATCAAATTCAAACACACATCACTACACATATCCACATTTTTACTATAATTATTTACTATACATATATATACATATATAAAAGAAAATGCGGGGTGTTACAGTCCACGCTTTCTAGGTATGTCTTTTCCTTCTCTTCCTCTTCAACTTTATAATAACTCTAGATCGCTTTGGTCCCCTATGGTGGTCCAAAGGACTCCACTTCTTAGTTCTTCATTTCTACTTTTAGGGGTTTAGGGAGATCATTGGCAGCAATGCCTTACTTGCTAGACCCTTGGAGTATGGTTGGGATTTTCTTACTAGGTCATTGGTTCCTAGATCCTCGTTCGATTGAGGATTCCTCTAGAGTTAGGTTATTTTGAATCCTTACTCTCACCCATGTCTGTAGTTTCTTCTAAGGCTATTGGGTCCTCCATTACTCGCATGCTCAGTAATGTTAGTTACGATCCCAAGGTTTAATCTCCAGCTTACGGAGATGAGGATCCCACTATTGAGTTGTCTTGTCAGAGGCAAGTGGTAGACCTGAAAGAGATTAAGGAGCCTTTGCCCTATCTTTTCATAAAGAAAGTTCACCTCGTAAGGAAGTAACCCCACTTCTCCTCAAGGATATGCTTGAAGAAGAGCCCCTTGGTCAAGGAAACAGAAAGCGTGCTTCTAAGAAGAGGGTCTCTAAAACATATCGTATTCCCTATTTCGATAAGGTGGGTCCTTTGGGGAGACCTGAGGAACTACAGGGTCTTGCTTCAAAATTTATCATAAGTCGTGTTTCTAAACATCGACTTCAAGCCCTAGTTAATCGTTATCAATTTTCCCCTGAATTCAAATCTTATCCTCCCTCCAAGGTCGACCGTTACAATGTCTACCAATCTGAGAAGAACTACTTTTTTGTTTCTTCCGTCGAGTTGAGTTTAAGATTTCCCATGCATCCCTTTCTAAAGAGTGTTCTTCGATTTTACAATACCTATCCCTCAAGGTTGTCTCCCAATTTATGGGTGACATTGGTTGGTCTATTGGTTTTTAGAAAGAGAATGACCTAGGGAACTCCTTTAATGTCCGAGCTTCTTCATTTCTTCAACGTCAAATGTTCCCCAACGGATGACTTTTTCTATATCTCCAAATGTTTCAATACTCAGTCATTAATCATAAGTGCACCAATCTCTCAAAAGACCTGGAAAGAGAACTTCTTCTATTTTTTAGGTGATGCTTGGGAGGTAAATCCGAGTGATGCCTCTAATATTCTCTATGTCCCCAAACTTTGGGGGGAACCCGGGAACTTAAGTGAGTGTCAATTTTTTTCAATGCGAAAGTATTGTTTCTCCTAAATATTTTTTTTCTTCTCCATTGATATTGATGCTTCATTTTGTTTGGCAGAATTTCGTCCTGAGATGACTCCTTCTAAAGAGCTTAGAGTTGCCAAGATCAATAAATGCGAAACAAAACATATCAAGGACCTTATTTCTACTGAGAAATTAGAAAGATACATAATTGATCCTGAGGAGTTTGAAAGACTCTCACCTCCTCCTATTGAAGGATAAAATCACATTCCTGAGGTTCAAGGTAATCCCATATGTACTAACTCAATTCCTGAGCTAGTCTTACTCAAACCTATTGGTTTCTGGGTTTTGCTAGTTCTCTGAATCTAACGCAGTCCTGCACAGATCTCAACCCCATGGCTCCTAATCTAGAAGATGTTTTGGAGGTGGAAAAAAGGTGACTTCAGAAGAAAGTGCACCTGACCAAGCCTCATGATCTTGAATCCCCCATCAACACTAGGTTCAAAAAGGTTCTTAGAATTGAGGAAATAGAATCTTCAGGTAAGAAAGTGTCCGAGCTTTCTATAGGAACTCAAAAGGAATCCATTTTGGTTGCTACTGAAGGCCTACAAGCTGTCGACCCTCCTCTGGGAACTCCCCAAGGACCTGAAGCTTTTTCACCTCTTCCTTCACCACCTTCCGAGGTTAGCGTTCCTTCCCAAAGGTTGAGCCCAACTTTTCCTGACATGGAAGAAGACGGTTCCCTAGGGAACCGTATGTTGGTTGCTACCAGGATGTTAAACATCTTTCCCAAATCTGACATTGTAAATTCAATCTAGCTTAGTGCCAACGATGAGGTAGCTAATGCCCTGCACGGCCTCGTAATAGTAATATTCTTCCCTTTTATATGACTTGTTCTCACTAGGCATTATAAATTCACCTCTTTGAGTAATATGTCACCTTTACAAGCTGGTGTTCATATCCGAGTTCTCTTAGGCTAAGCTCTAAAATTGGAGAAGGCTGTTGAAGAATAAAGAGCTAGGCTAGCCAATGCAAAAGGAAGTTAGAGGACCAGGCTTCCCAGATCAACTCGTTAAAGTCATCTAAGACATCTCTAGGAGATTAGCTAAGGTAGACAAAGGTGGAGCTGGGAAAAATAGTTGGTGCAATTGATTTTACCAAGGTGGAGAAGGAAAAAGTTGAGAAGGGGAAAGAAGAAGTTGATTGGATAGTGGCTAAGCTCAAACTATAGGTCCAAGCATTGAAGTCTATTTTGAAGACCAACGAGAAGACCATAAAAGACCCACGAACTGAATGTGCCAACAATTATGTCAACGACTATGAAGATCTAAGGGAGCAGGCTACCGAGAAGCATCCTGAACTAGACTTCGAATGCTTTATTCCCCCTTTGTCTTTGATGTCGACTATTGAGAAATAGAAGACGCCAGCAAAAGGCAACCCTAAGAAGCCGACCTTAGGGACCGAGCTATCTATTGTGCCACTTTTTGATGCTTCAATAGATCCTGTTGTGCCCGAAGGAGCAGAACAGGGATCGGGGGGCAAGCTTAGGGGTTTTTGCTTGTATCTTATGAACTGTTGCTTTTTCTCTTTCCTTTTGAATTTCTTTTTTTTTTTTGAAGTGATTTTTTGTAAAAACACCTTTTAATGAACAACTCTTGCCATTTTTGCTTGAATCAAAAATTCCTTACATATATTTGCCCCATCTCATTTACTGGAAGGTGAATACCTTGTAGTAATGATAATCCATCTAATTCTAATTGCCAAGTTTGAGATCTGGGTGTCTCCCTAGACTTATAGGTTTAGAACTTATTTAGGTATAAGCTAAAAAGGTCGATCTGAGGTGGTACGGTCTTGAGAGCTCCTTTAATTACGAGCTAAGGAGTTCGTCTTGTAATTCTAATTACTAAGTTCGAGATCTGGATGGCCCCGTAGACTTAGCAATTTAAATCCAATGATTTTATGATGGTTAGTGAAGAGACACAATTGTTGATGGTTATACATGTTAATCGCCACTGAACCATCATGCCTTTGGAGAAAAGCGATTGGGTACATTCACCTAATCCAATGATTTGCAGTAACTTCCCTCATTAATTTGAACATCTTGAAAGCAAGCAAACCATTGTCTTCGTTGCCTATAAAGGCATAAGTTGGTCTAAACTATTGGGTTAAACTCTACAACTTTTCAAGTCATCCTGCCATCAAGATTTTCTCTTTCTTTGCAAGTCTTCTTCTTTTTGCCTTTCTATGGAAATTCCTTTTTCATCAATGTACAGGCATCATGCCTTGCTTTTAGTAAAGGACCCCAATTGGGACATCTTTTTAGCTCCCAACACTATCTTAAAGGCTGATGTGGAGGCCATCAGGAGGCATTACCAGTTTTCTGCTAGTATCTCCGTTCATGCCCCCACTTCAGATGAACCTAGAAACCCTTTTTTGGGGAGGAAACTTTGTTTCTTTGAGTCTACATTTGAAGTCAGACTTCATTTCTCATTCATGTGTCTTGAGGTGAATTTTTGCCATTTTTGGCCTTTGCCCCTCCTAACTCTCGCAAAAGGGATGGGGTCTTCTATTAAGCTTCTTCATCCTCTGATGTCTTCATGGCCATGACCACTTTCCTTCTGTTTCTAAGTTCCTTCACTTCTTCCACCTAGTTCATGACTACCATCCTTGCTTTTATCACTTTGCTTGGAGGGTTCAGGTCCCTAAAATTATTTTTGACGCTCCAGCTTCTCTTGAGTGATGGCAACGACATTTCTTCTTTATTTCTAGGAAGGGCTAGGAGTTTGTTGTGGTGGACATTTTTCGTGTCTCTCATTCCTGGGGACATCCTTCGAACATGCTAAAAATTCCTTCTTTTTTCCTTTATTTATGTCATGTAATTTCTCGTGGTCACGCTTGCTTTTCTTTTGGACCATTGTAAAGGAGGTTCCAAGGATGAATTTTGTTGAGGTCACAAGGGTCTACAACCTTTGTCAGTTCAAGGTGATGCCCTTACTAAGAGGAAGTTTTTTACCTCTGTTGTGCTAGAATTACATTAGAATTAATCACCAAGAAGTGGCAGCTCTTTCGCTATGAGGTTAAGAGGGATAAGCTTGCTAGGGAGGAGAATGCACAGTTGAAGGAATTGAAGAAGAAGGAATCTAGGCCTTGAATTAGTTGCTTTGTAACTTTTGCATGTGTAATCCTTTCTTGGAATGAAATATATAACTCATTTTGCTCTCTTGTTCTTCTTGTAATGCACTATTTTGTTTTCTTTTTCATGGTTCCTATCACTAAGTCCTAAGTTAGGTCAGCCCCCTGGACTTAGTGATCTAGAATTAGTTTTATTGCAAGCTCAGGAGCTCTATAAACTGGAGAGCTTATCATAAGTGTGAGCTAAAAAGCTTACCTTTGTTTGAGTTGAAAATCCTTTTTTTTAATACAACTTGAAGAACTCATTGCGAGCTTAGATGCTCTATAAGCTGAAAAGCTTTTATCATAAGTATGAGCTAAAGAGCTTATCTTTGTCTGAGCTAAAAAAAAAATTTTGATATAAGTTGAAGAACTCATCGCAAGCTTAGATGCTCTATAAGTTGAAGAGCTTATCCTAAGTTTGAGTTGAAGAGCTCACCTTCATTCGAGCTGAAAAGATCTTTTTTTATATGGAGCTCACCTTCGTCCGACCTAAAAATCTCTTTTTTGATATGAGTTAAAGAACTCATCACGAGGTTAGATGCTCTATAAGCTAAAGAGCTTATCCTAAGTATGAGTTTAAGAGCTCATCTTCGTCCAAGCTAAAAAGCTCTTTTTGATTTGAGTTGAAGAACTCATCACGAACTTAAATGCTCTATAAGCTGGAGAGCTTATCATAAATATGAGCTAAAAATTTTACCTTTGTCCAAGCTGAAAAGCTCTTTTTTGATATAAGTTGAAGAACTCATCGCAATTTTAGATGCTTTATAAGCTAAAGAGCTTATCGTAAGTATGAGCTGAAGAGTTCACCCTCGTATAAGCTAAAAAGCTATTTTTTTCTGAAGTACTAATCGCAAGCTTAGATGCTCTATAAGTTGAAGAGCTTATCATAAATATGAGCTAAAGAGCTCATCTATGATCTTTTGAGCTCAACTTCTAATAGATGGACGAGGAGAACATTGCATGTTTCCAATACTTGGGAGGTTTCGTAGAAAAATTCGAATACTTGGGGATTTTTGTAAATTGGAAGGATTTCATTAAAGCTGGATATCTACAACAACCTTCAAGATAAAGGGGGATCTTTAAGGATACCATAATAATCATTGGTAAAAATTTTCAGATGATCTACATTTCAAGAAAGTGGCAAATCTTTCCCTTCCTCATCTTGTAGCTCGTAATTTCCTGGTCTAATGACCTTTTTGACTATGTATAGTCTTTCCCATTTGGGTCCTAGTTTTTTATGCCTAGGATCTTTTCTTGTGGGTAAAAGCTTCTTTAGGAAAAGGTCCCCAACCTTAAAACTCAATCCTTGGACCCTTTGAATATAGTATTGAGTTGTCTTCCTTTGATAAGATACAATCCTTTGCAATGCTCATCCCTTTTCTCCTCTAGGAGATCGAGATTTACAAGGAAAGCTTGATCATTCTCCTCGAGATTAAATAACTCAGCTCTAGGAGAGGTAAGCCCGCTATACTAGTGCAATCACTTCTATTCCAAATGTCAGATTGAAAGAGGTCTCATGTGTGGCAGTTGAGGCCGTTGTCCTATGTGCCAATAATACACTTGGGAGATAATCTATCCATTGTTCTTTTGAAGCTTCCAACTTAGTTTTCAGAACCTTGATGATCGTTTGAATAATGACCTTTGCCTGGCCGTTGGATTGAGGATGAGCTGGAGCTGAGAAATAATTTTTTATCCTAAGCTATGAACAAATTCCTTTGAAGGTGGGGTTGCTGAACTACTTTCTGTTGTTTGATACAATGGCTCTAGGGATTCTAAATCTGCACACTATAAACCTCCAAACAAAGTTCCTGATCTTTTGTTCAATAATGGTTGCAAGTGGCTCGACCTCTGCCTATTTGGTGAAATAATCTATCGCTACGACAATGAACTTACACTACCCCACTCCAATTGTTAGAGGTTCAACAATATCAATCCCTCATTGTTGGAAAGGCCACAAGCTTACTACTAGCATAAATAGCTCAAGAGGACAATGCGGGATGTTGGCATGTATCTGACAAGTCATGTACTTTCTTACCATGTCCTTGGCATCCTTCGCCATAGTGGGCTAGAATTAGCCCTACCTCAGCTCCTTGTATGTTGAAGTGCAGGCCCCTGTATAGTTTCCAAAAATGTCTTCGTGAATTTCCCTCAGAATGTAGTTGACTTCTACTGCTGCAACACACTTTATAAGAGGTACTGAGAATCCCTTTTTCTAAAGCTCCCCCTACATTAATGTGAATCTGGAGGCCGTGACCCTAAGCTTAGCTGCTTCTTTGGGGTCTTAGGGAAGAGTTCTGTTTCTGATATAGTCCACAAATGGATCTATCCAGCTCATTCCTAGCTCGATGGGGAAGACCTCTTCCTTACTCAGGTCTTGGTGAATACTAGGCCTACTGAGGTGTTCTATGGGGACGACCTTGTTGAGGCTCCCCTGGTCTGCTGAAGCTAATTTAGCCAAGGTATCTGCTCTAGCACTTTCAACTCGTGGTATCTGAATGACCTCATCAAACAAACTTCTTAGGAGAGCCTATACCACTTGCAAGTATGAGGCCATCCTTTCTTCTCGTGTTGCGTATTTCAATTCAACTTGCCTCACCACAAGTTGAGAGTCACCATGAATTATAAGATGATGTGCTTACATGGA